ACTTTTCCCCACGGCCTATTCATATGTGCTTTCTCCAGATGGTATGCTCCAGAGAGATCCTTGTGTTCTGGGAACAGTTCACAATATAAATAAGGTCCCCCGTGGAGTGCAGGCTGGGGGTGCTCAGAAGTCAGCTTACCAAGACCTGGTGTTCAGAGCTGCCTCTTGGCTCTGTGGAGGCAGCCACCATCTTGCTCATGGACGCCTCTGTCTCACGGTAAGGGATCCGGGTGACAGGACGCACCCACATACAGCCTTAACAGGGCCATAGATGTGTCGTCAGGCCTGTGGCCTCCGGCCCTTTTCTCAAGTGTTGTCCAGACGTCCCTGGGATTGCTTGGTGTTTGGAACTGGCAGCTGAGATGAGAGGGAGATGAAGACAAGCCTTCAGGGAAGGGCCAAGATGCGGGTGGGAGGACACTCGCCTCAGGGGAAGTGTGAGGTCTTGTCATAGGTAGAGAAGTGGGGTCTGGAAGGCTGAAAGCAGGGGACGGGGCTGCTTTTATGTGTGTGAGGGAAGAAGAGTTAGTCCAGGAACCAAAATAGACTCTATTAAATTTTGTCATTGCCAAAGAGAGTCTAGGAAGGAAAAATGATTTAGCACAGATTGAATGGAGCAAAACTGGAGTCCAGCCCTCTCTGGGGGAACCACAGAAGGTGGAAGATTGGGCTACTTGGGACTTGGTCACTCTGATGCATAAGCAGGACCCTTTCTACTGTCATTCACCCTGGAGGTGCCTGTGATCACCCCAGAGGGTTCCCCAGGAGGCTGTAGTGTAGTGGACACTGTCCGATGAAGATCCTTTTCAGTTTAAGGATGTTTTTAGGAATGCAGCCTGTTCCATCCCAAACCCCACAAAACCTGGAAGAGGTGTGTGCTCTGTTTGTCACCGTGCATGTGAGCACACACGTGTGTATGCATGTGGAGTGTGTGTGTGTGTGTGTGTCTGTGTGACAGAGAGATCTGAGGAGGCGGGAGTATCGTCTGGCAGCTCACTGAGTCCTGTGAGCTGCAGAAATCTTCCATTGTCTCATTTTGTGACCTTTAGTGAGTCACACGCTCCTTTGTTTTCTTATGTGTTAAGTGGAGATACTCATCTTGCTGCTTATTAAAGCGGTTCTTGTGCTTCAGGTGCCTTTACTAATTCAAATCGACTCTTTGAATTCTTTCCCTCTGGGGTCTTATAAGAAAGGTAAGCTTTCTTGGGGCCTTCCTCAGGTGAGGCTAGGGATCCACACAGTGAGCGCGGGGAAGACTGGGACAAGCTATGTGGCCAAGGAGACTTCTCAGCACACAGAAGTGCTGCGCTCTCCATGAGCCTGATGTTCTGGTTAATATACTTTACCCCTGGGATGCAGCAGCTGCTTGGAGCCGGTGGGGCAGAGGAAAGGGGGAGGGCAAAGGGAATCAGTGGTGAGGTGGGAATCTGTGTCACATGGAGAATGCGGCCATGACTTTGGTTCAATCGGGAGGCAGTTTTCTAGGCCCTGGAGAGGGGCGTGGTGCTCTAAGGCAACAGAATGGACAACAGTAGTATAGCTGATGAGCTGGTACCCAGGGAGACCTGATGTGCTCATCTTGGGGTCAAGCTGGGGTGGTAAGCACGTGGCACCGGTGTATTTACCATTCCCTACCCCTTGTGCCATGATAGGCATCACTGATCTATCATGATGTGTTTTCCTGTCTTGCTCAGGAGAGTCTCAGAATCCTGTAAGTACAGCATTTGGACAGTGATGTCAGTCAATTGGCGTAAGTGGGGAAGCTCATGGTGTCTCCCTCTTGTGAGGGAGAGGATACAGACTATGGAATCTCACAGAAATGACAGCTCAGTTGGGTACACATTTTGGGCATTGAATAAGCATATTAGATCTTTCTTTGTTGCATGAGACAGAAACCCAACTCAGATGAGTTCCTAAATAACTTATAATCACAGTGAGTGTGGGGAAATGACTTAAAGTAAGAGTGGCTATGCCGACCTTGAGGTATAGCTTTGGTGGAAGCCAGCTCCCAGAGTCGCACCTGTTTCACCTCCTGTCCCTCAAAGTAGGGCTAACTTCAGGCATGGCTGGATGCAAGAATCCCGTGATCCTGAGTTCTCTCTCTGGGATGGACTTTGTAGGGTGAGAATATTCTCTGTTGAATTAGGGCTCTCCAGAGGAACAGAACAAATAGAATGTACATGCAATTATTAGAGGGGATTTTTTTTTTTTTTTAGTGTGGCTTACATAATCAGTCTGGCCATGTGCAGATTGGAGAAATGGAGAAACCAGTCATTGCTCAGTCTAAAAGGTGGACCTGCAGAACAAGGGGGACCAGATAAGGAAGGCCCAGTCCCAGGCTGAAGATTTGGAATGCCCTGGAGATTTGCTGGTGCAAGTTCACAGTGAGAGGGTGAAGAACAGAGCAGTGTAGCCATCTCTTCTTAGGTAGGGCCCTCTGGATTTTGCTGGCTCCCACCTAGGGTTCCTCCTGGACAGTACTCATAGACATAGCTTGATGTCTATGTGAATGGCAGCAGCAGTAAACCTACTGCTCAAGAAAAGCTGAGTGTGCATGTGCGTGCACTTGCCCTTCTTGTCTGTTTTTTGTTCCATCTGGTCCTATTGGATGGTGCTGCCATCAGGGCAGGTCTTCCCCCTCAGTTGGCTGACCTTTATGCCAAGTGTCTCTGGAAACACCTTCACAGACTCACCTAGAAGTGTGCTTTACTAATTTTGAGGCCCTTCTCAGTTTAGAACTTTAAAACACTGACTAAGCTGGGCCAAGTGCCCTTAACAGGCTCCTGTGGGAGACAGGAGTAGCGTGGGGATGGTAGGTTCTAGGAAGCAGGTCACCCTGGGAGCAGTTATCTCACAGTCCAAATATAAAAGGACCAGCACAAGCCAAGAGCTGGGGAGATGATTGGGAGAGGCACTACATGTCCACCTGTGTACTGGGGAGCCTTAGGTGAGGAGAGGGAAGGGGTTCAACAGTGTAGTTCATTCTGTGCCCAGCAGCTGCCTTGGGAGGACCTGTGTACACTGAGCAGAGAAGGTCACTGTGGGAAGACTCAATTGATGTATGTGAAATTGGTCTGGCTGCTCCACCACTGTCTCCAAGCAATTGAAGTGGCATCCACATGCCAGACTCACCTTTCAGGATAGCATTCCATTCTCTGAGGCTTTTGTTGATCTCACTGCACTAGGTCAGCTCACTGGCATTACAAATATCAAGGTCAAATATCTGTTCTGGGAGGCACACGTTTGGGTCCAGGGTGAGCTGATCATTTGGCAAACCTTATAGATTCTAGGGTAAGGCATCTGTCCTAACAGACTAGAGAGTGTCATGCATAGATGGTGTCTTAGGGACTTTCTTGAAGGCTTTGGTACCTTTAAACCAGAGCAGTGTAGCCATCTCTTCTTAGGTAGGGCCCGCTGGATTTTGCTGGCTCCCATCTAGGGTTCCTTCTGGACAGTACTCTCTACTCCATCCTGTTGACCCTGTCACATAGCTCCCCTCCTCAGATGTCAAATGCTATATAATAAATCATCCCAAAGCAAAGTGGCTTACAATAGCAAACATCTTGTTATCTCTCAGTTGTTATGGCTCAGAAATTCAGGAAGTTCCTCATTTGGCACCATTCTGGCTTGAGGTCTCTCTTGAAGTGCAGTTGGTGACGACAGCAGCTGTAGGCTTATCTGGACTCTCTTTCCACATGGTCTCTCCATGCAGCTAGTTTGGCTTCCTCACAGTATGGTGGCTTTTGCTTTCCTTCAGCTGTCCATCCTGAGAAACTCAGGTCTAGGCAACTTGGCCTTTTTGAGCTTGGAAATCCTCTAGTGTCTCTTCTGCTGTACTTTGTTTAGTGGAAACAGTCAGAAAAAGGCAACTCATTTCAAGAGGAGGGTTCCTTGATCTTCTTTCTCTGTGAGAGAGGTCAGATGTCAAGGGATTTGCCTATAATTTAAACCACCTCTCCCACCCGTGCCAAACTTAATGTGCAGATGCTTTGGGGGGCCTGGATGTGGCATTTGCATTTCCATCTCTGTGACAGATACCTGATATAATCATCTTATGGAGAGAAGAGCTTTGTTTGGGCTCGTGGGTATGGAGGCTTCAGTTAATGATCAATTGGTCCTGTTGCTTTGGGCCTATGGTGAGGCAGCACATCAGGCCAGGAACATGTGGCAGAGCAAAACTGTTCATCCCATGGCCAAGGAATAAAAAGGGAAGAGGAAGAGACTAGGGTCCCAGAGTCCTGTTCAAGGACATGCCCCCAGTGACCCAAAAACCTCCTGCTAGGCCCTACTTCAAAGGATCCACAAACCCCAGTAACATCTCCCTGCAGGCCAAGCCTTTAACACAGGTCTTTGGGGGGACATTTAAGATCTAAGCTGTAGCACTGAATGTGAATTTAACTTGAGTCCAGTCCCCTCGTTTTATTGTATTTAGTTTTGGTTCTGGAACTCAGGTGCAGAGAGCTAAGTGAATTACATTCTTCAATGCATATTTGTTATGAATTTATGTGATGCTCACTCACTCATGCATTCATTCTTCATTCATTCTTATCCCCGCATCTTACTCTGATTTTCTTCCTTAAACAACCATTCTGTTCTGTTTGAAGAATATCCTTTTGTTTGTGAGTTGTTCTTACAAATGTGTTGGAATTTATGCATTGCATTGTGTTCTATCTTCCAATGCACCTTCCTTTTCTAACTAGTACAGTGCTGCTGAGGTTCACGAATTCTATAGTAGGCACGTCTCTTGTCTGCCTCAAATGAGGCGGTGAGATCAGGGAAGGGAGCCACACGTTCAAGGTCACCCAGCTGAACTAGACCAAACTCAGCCTAGAACCAATTTCCTGGTGGTTTCTTAGCACATCACACTAGTGTTTTCATGTGTCACCTCCCAATTTTATGCAATAGCTTGAAATGAAATTTTTTTAAAAATGTGAATCTGTGTCCCAGGTGCGCCCATTTTCACTCTAGTGACTGTTATCCTCTTTCCTCTTTTGCTGCAGGTTCCAACTATGGGAGCCCGCGCTCAGCCAACATGAATGCCAACGCAGCTGCAGGGCTCGCCCCTGAGCACATCCCCACCCCAGGGGCAGCCCTGTCTTGGCAAGCAGCCATCGATGCAGCCCGGCAGGCCAAGCTGATGGGCAGTGCTGGCAATGCGACCATCTCCACAGTCAGCTCCACGCAGCGGAAACGGCAGCAGTATGGGAAACCCAAAAAACAGAGTGGCACAACTGCCACGCGGCCACCCCGTGCCCTGCTCTGTCTGACCCTGAAGAACCCCATCCGGAGAGCATGTATAAGCATCGTCGAATGGAAATATCCTTTGTGCTTTGGCCTGGGAAGGGTGCTTTTGGGACTTGTGTCCTAGAGGCCAGCCCTCTGGGGCTTAGCAGTCTGTAGACGGTGCTGTGCCTACAGCTGATTCATGGGTCTGCATCAGTGAGGCCTGTGAAAATGCAGTTAGAGGCCCTGTCCTAGACTCAATGAATCAGGATCCTGGGGACAAGGTTCACGATGCCTAGGTTTTAATATTTCCCCCCCGTATATGGCTCGAACGTCCCTAATCCAAAATCTGAAATCTGAATTGCTCCAAAATCTGAAACACGATGCCACAAGTAGAAGCTTCCACACCTTCTTCATGTGATGGATAGTAGTGCAAATACAGGCTCAGTAAAAACACTGTAAAAATTACCTTCACACTATGAGATACATGTGAATCATAGATGAATTTTGTGTTTAGACTTGGATCCCCTTCCCATACTTTCTCATTATGTGAATGCAAATATTCCCAAATCCAAAAAAATCCCATATCTGAAACACTTACATGGCTGAGCTTGCCTGGGGATCCACTCAGGTGATTGTGTTAGTAGTCATCATGGGTTACTTCACAACCTTTGTTCCCTCCTTTGTTACTGTACTGGGGTAGTTTCATGACCTCACCTCTCTCAAGGATGAAGCAGCCCAGGAGATATAAGAATGTAGCCATCCATGGACTGGTTTTTCGGCTCCAGGGCCTGGGAGCAGTGGCTCTCAGCCTTGGTAGCATGTTAGAATTCTGTAGAAAGTTTTAGCAAACTTTAGATGCCTGAGCTCTACCCAGGCATTCTTAAAAAAATTCTCCAGGTTATTCTAAAGTAGTTACAGTTGGTCTGGAGTTTAAAACACAGAGTTCTTCTGTACACATAGAAACCAATGAATGGGTTCTTCAGAGATCATAGCTCCAAGGATTGGGCTGTCACCGTGGAATTACAAGGCTCTTAATATCTAAGTGTCATGGAGTTGTGGAGATTAGAAAAAAAATCTTAGAGATTTACAGGTCTACCTCTAATTTTCCCTAGTGATGAAATGAGTCCCGTGAAAGATTCTCCAGGGTCATATGCTCAGTATCAGATGGGATTTGAACCCTGGGTCTTTTTTTTTTTTTTTTTTTGTGGTACGTTGGGTCTTAATATTTGGCATTTTTGCAGTAAGAATTTGTTTGGGAGGGCCACCATATTTCTCAATGCTCAGGATAGGGGTGTTAGGTTTCATTAGTAAGTTTTTAGGGAAAGATTTAAAAATCTTGGGTAGTGGTCAGAAGGTAGAAGAAAATGATCTGGGGATAGAAGAAAGTTTCTTTAGAGTAAGCAATATTCATTCTATGCATGCTTAAGCCTTTTCAAGTAAAAAGTAACTTCAAAAGAACGCAATGTAAATGAAGGGGCTGCTGCAGAATTGCCAGGTCAGACCTGAGTGATGTAGTATGATGAGTGAATGGGAGGGGGGTGTGGTCAGCCATAGGCTGCTTCCAGAGCAGTTTGAGGCAGAACCATGGAGTGGGAGAACTGAGGGCTCCTGCAGGTCAGGCACAGGTAGGGACTAGATGAGTACCTGGGTGGATGTTCAGGGGGTGCAGTCCAGCTCTGCTGGGACATAGCGGGGCCTGGGTCAGCAGCCTGAACACTCACTGCACGGGTGTGGCAGTCATCCTCCCTGGGGAATGTGCTTCCCACCTGGAGGAGGTGATGTGGGCCTTTTTGCTTCATGGGTGGCGTTCCTAGACTGCCAAGGAAGGATAGCTGGACAGCTAAGGAGCTAGGAAAAGGTGGAATCTGATGCTGTCATTAAGAATGCAGTTTAAAAAATGACCTGGCCCTCCCAGGGTGACGTGCAGTGTACCCAGGGCTTACCTGGGTTCTCCTCTGCTTTTCAGCTGATGGCTCTTCTTATCTTCCTGATTGGTTTCTTTACACAGCCTTACTTCCAACATTAGCCAATGATCTTAGCAGAGCATGATGGATGGATAGCCTAAGCAGGGGCAGGAGGTAGAACTGGCAGCACTTGAAACATCCCAAGCTCAGGTATCCCCACGGGGGTGGAGGCAGCCAGTTGCTATTTGATGAATGGAGGCACAGGAAGTCTGGCTCAGCTGCCTTCTTGGGCTCTTGTCCTGGAGAGAAGAGCACAGGGTAGCAGATGATGAGAATGAAACTGACCAGCCCCTAGGGCGAGTGTCACTCTCCTAAGCAGGTGGGAAAGGGTCTGGGTAGGAAGAGGTGCTGCAGTAGGAAAGCTGGAAGGACTGACGTCATGAAAATGCTCTAGGGTACCACCGGCGAGATCAGTGTAGAGGAGCCCTCACAAATTCAGAGTCTAGAGCCAGACTAGATCCCATTCTACCACCAGCTCTGTGACTTTGGACAAGTTAACATGTACCTTTCTGTTTCTCGTTTCCTCCCTTAACAATGGGAGTGACAGCTGTGCTTTCTATGCTGGGTGTTTGTGGGGTGCAGTTAGACCAGTGCCTAGCATGGAGTAGCTCCTGTTCTCACTGTCACCATACCCACCCTGGCATCTGGACCCCCTATATCACCACTGACTCCTTGGTCAACTCAAGGGCAGCATGAGGTCAGAGATGAGTGAGTGGATCTGGGTTGTGGCCCTGGCTCTGTTCTTTGCCAGGTTGGAATCTCGAACAGTTGTTTTACTGTCCACATCTGTTAAGTGGGGAAGTTGGACAGGTCCACTGCATGCCACCTTTTAATATCAAGGCACACATGCAAAAAAAAAAAAAAAAAAGGCACCTTGAAGGAGGCGTGCTGGCTAAAGGGACCCTGAGCTCTCCTTTAGGGCTGAGGGGTTCTGCCACCAGATAATCACTGAGATTCCTCCCACTTCCAGCATTCTGTGACCCTGGTCCAAGGCTGCCTGGGTACACAGTCACACACAGGCTGTGTGTGACAGGGGGTGAGTACTGCACTGGTGGGCAGGAAATATGGGTTCTAGTCCTGCCTGGTCATTAATCTGTTAGGGAACCTTGGGAAAGTTTCTTGGGCTCTCTGGCCTCAGAGGTTTGGACCAGATCATTCCTAAGCTCTTTTCCTACTTCAAAATTTGTTACCTTTGTGAGTAGAGATTTCCCCGGGAGAATTAAACTGGTTCTTTCACCCAGCGATTTCCATCCCCTTCTCTTTCTCCTGTTAGACTCTGAATGAGGCTGAAGGTTGGCAGAAGGGACCGGGCTGGTAGGAGTGGAGATAGAAGAGCACAAGTTGGGCCCTTCCTGTGGAGCTTCCTTTTCTGGCCTTGGGTGGGGTGTGGTGGGGTGGGCTCATTGGAAGGGTATTATCCTATGAGCTCATTTGTCTCTAGAGGGTGTACCCTGTCCTGTGTTTTGATGAAGAAGTCAGGGACTGGGAACCTCAGTGTGTTCTGTTACTGGTGAGTGAACTCTGGGCTGTCCCTCTAGAGACCAGCACCGTTGATGGAGAAGTTGGGAGGACCAGCAACTGCAGCCTTGCTTACCGGAGGCAGGGCCTCTGCAGAACCAGGGGTGTCCCCAAAGGGGAGATGGCTGCCCTTCTTTAAACACGCAGCACACATCCTGCCACATTCTGGGGGGTCCTGAGCCCCTCACCCCAGATGGGCTCTAGGTTCTCTGGAATCTGTCAGAAAATGAAAGAGGAGAAGAAGAAGGAGAAGGAGGGGGAGGGGGAGAGGGGAGGAAGAAAACCACTTTTCACTTTCAAAGATTAAAAAGTAAATTCTCCAGATTTTAATGAAAACCATGAAATGTCACTTTGTCTTAAAATCCCACTCCACTGCTGTCCTTCCCAGGTGCGATCAGGTCTCCTGGTGGCAGTGCAGAAGCCACGTGGAAACGGGGATCCAGGGAGCCCTGCCTGGGGGCAGGTACAGCCTGTAAAAGCCACTCCAAGTCCACATGAGGGAAAATGAAGTCAAATGCAATCTAAATAAATAAAAGAAGGGGAAAAAAGTTTTTAGAAATCTGTGTTTACTCTGGCACGCGACTGGCCTCCACTGCTTTTGACATATTAGGAAAAATTTTGGCGGGGCCCCACTAGAAGCACTTAAAAAGGCATATGTTTCTTTTCAGAATACAAGGGGCTTGGAATGCATTGTTTAAACAAAATTCTTACCAATCTTTGATTCATTTAAAAAAAATAGAGAGATGTATATTTGTTTCACTTGGGCTCGCTGCAGTGTTAATTTCCTTAACTCCCTTCCTCAGACCATTTGAAATAATTATTTTACTGACTATTTTTGCCAATTGTGTGGCCTTAGCAATCTATATTCCCTTTCCAGAAGATGATTCCAATGCCACCAATTCCAACCTGGTAAGTCCTCAAGTCATTTCTTACTACTCGGAGGAGAACTGAAGTTGGATCACATGGATTCGAGTTGGAATGTGCGAGAGGAGTGAGATGTGCATTTGACATGTACCAAAGCGCTGCCGAGCTCAGATCTGGAATGCCATTTTGCTCTTTATTCAAATCAGCACCTGTCTTATCACAGCCTGTTTTCAGAAAGAATATTCCAATTAGGAGGCAGCGAACTCTGTGTGTGTGTGTGTGTGTGTGTGTGTGTGTGTGTGTGTGTGTGTGTATGTGTGTGGCGGATCCTGTGTGTGTTATAAAATGTGCTGCCTAAGTTGCAATTGCAGGTGTGCTGGAGTGAGCATTTATTCCTGGATCATTTGTCCTGTGTATTTTGAGTGCCTTTGTTCTATTGGTAGGATTTGCTCAGGCGATCTGCAGCCTCGCTATGTGATTGCATGATAAATAATTTCTAGGAAGCTTTCAGGAAAGTTTGCTTTTGCAGCCAAGATGTATTATTGAGTTAAAAAGGTTTTATTTTCTTGGGAAAGGAGGCTTTCCATTTGGATTGTGGAGAGGCCAGTGCTGGCAACTTGGGGTTAGGTTTTGTCCATGGAAAAAGTGGAGAGTGTGTTTACTTTTGGCTGAGCACGAAGTCATTACAAAGGCCTTTGCTCCGTCTGGGCATGTGAGGAAAAGCGCTCTGGAATGTGGTTGGTGAAACTGGGCCACTTTGGGATGCCTTTGTGATGGGCATGTAGAACAATATTGTCTCTCTGCCCCTGCAAGACAGCATAACTTTTCATATGAGTCCCCCAAAGCAGTGTTTGGTCCCCAGAGCCACCATCCTTCCTCTGTTGCCAGCACCTTCCTCAAGTGACTGAGACTTGACTGTCGGATGCGATGGCTTTCAGAAGAAGCAGGAGGGTGATAGAGTCTCCTTTCCATCGTTGCTGTCTGCTGACGCTATCTGGGGGATGGTTCTTTTGTCTTAGAACCTTTGACATGTCCCTTGGACCCTTTGGAAAGTAAATCTGATGCATGCTTTTGCAGCTAGTTGCAGACCCATATGGGTTAGAGCATTCAGTGTGTGGGGGGCTGCTGGGCTTCTGGATGGGTGTGGGGTTGTGTGGTAAGGACACGTTCCAAAGGTTCCTGAGCTGGGCAGTGAGTGCCGAGTGATGACATGACAGACCATCAGTGGCAGTCCGTGCAGCCATCTGAGGCATGACCTTGTCTCTTAACAGGCAAGAAATTGTCCCCATGTCAAAATAAGAACAAGCTGAACAGTCTCCCCAAAGCAGGAGCTCCTTCTGTTTGTTCTGTTTCTTCTCTGTGTCCACCTCCCTCCCATCCCAGGGTCCTTCCAGAATCCCTCTGCAGCATAACACTTAATCTGCAACTTCAAAAAGAGGCCTGGTTACAAATAGAATCCAGGTCTTGTTTTTACTCCAGTGAAGTTTTGGTGTACTTTGTGGGCAGAGGAGTTTGGTGTATCTTAGATCTCAGAGATGGTCATCCATCCCACAGCTCCCAGGAGGATTAGTAGGACCACTTGGGAGGATGCCCAGAGAGAAGCCCTGGGTTGGCGGAGACCTGTCAACCTTGTGCCTCCAGGAGGTGGAGGGGCTGTGGGCGGGAACCAGGGGTCAAGGTTGGACTTATTCTGGAGGTGGCTGGGCATAGAAGATGCTGGACATATTGTAGTTTCTCTTAAATCCTACCATGGAGCAATGGATGTGTTCTAAAACTAGAACTTCACACAATATCATTGAATCAGTGACTTAGGATGGGGGTTTTTATGTGAATGACATCTCAATAAAACTGTGGATTTGACTCATCACTCTGTGAATTCCATGGGGTCATACCTTCTCTGGGGTAGCCAGTGCCATGGACTGCATGGTGGAGTGAGGCAGTAGCCATGGAGGATTCAGAAATCCACCCAGAAAACCAACAAAAAAGAAAAAGTCCACATCAGCTGTGGACCAGGGCTGCGGTCAGGGCTGAGCACTGGGTACTGTGAGTGTGGGGTCTTATTACTGCTATCATCTTCACTGTCCTCAGCCCAACCCAAACCTGAATCACCTTTTGCCTGGACCTTCATGATGGCCTGAGATTCTCCTGGAGCCGGGCACTGAATTTGGAATATGTCAAGAGGTAGACCCTGTCTGTGACTGATAGGAAAGATAAACATAAGAACATGTTTGCAAATAGTGAAAGGACTTACAAGAGGTGATTTCCAGGCCCAAAGAGGTGTTTTTGGGCTGGAGTATGCACATGTGCAAAGGACCTGTGGTCATACTCTGAAGGATGGGGTGCTGATTTTGAATGAAGGAGAAGAGCCAGGTGATGGCGGCTTCATGGTCTATGCCAACAGCTGGATTTAACTTCCAATGATGAGGAGCCCCTGAAGAGCAGGAGAGAATTCTTATAGCAAGAAGGGCTGAGCAGCTCAGTTGGAGCCTCACTATGAAGAAAAAAGGAAACTTTGCCAAAGTTCAGATGATAGTGACGATAGGGACGGAGAGGGTGGTGGATTTAGAAGGTGAACTTGCCTGCACTTGTGACCATCCCTATATCGTGGGCAAAGGAGAGGGCTGAGTCCCAGCATGGTGACATGGGTGGCCAGGTGGCATTAGCAAGGAGAAGGACTTCAGGGGAAGGTCACATTTAAGAGTCAAGGCATCATGGATATGACTGGGGATTTGTTAGGTGAAGAGCCCCCGGAGTGTACGATGGTGATGTCTAGGGGAAGGTCCAATGGGTAGTTGGCAGGCGTGGAGCTCGGGAGACAGTTTGGGATGAGGCTGTAGACTAGGGGGTAATGAGAGAATGGGAAGAGAGAGAGGCCGTGGGCATGGACCAGAGCGCCTGCCGTAGGGCAGAGGGCAGGAGGAGCCGAAGGCCAAGCTGGGCCCTGGAGAGCAGTGTTTACAGAGAGGGTGGAGAAGAAAGACCCAAGAAAGGATGTGGGGGCAGTTTGGTCTGAGAAGTAGGAGGGGGAAGTTCAGAGAGTGAAGTCTTTGAAGCTAAGGAAACAGTTTAAAAATACGAAAAAGGGGACCAGTCAGGAGGTCAAAAGCTGGACTTTATGACAACTCAAGGCTGACAATCTGACTCTGAGGAGTGTGCTGAGCTTTGAAGAGGCTGCTGATCCGAGTGTGTAGCCTTGCCTGGTCTAGGAAATCAGAGGTACCTAATGACTGTGTGCTGACGACTGAAGTATTCCACTCGTCATGCCGGACTGACTCCTTACATGATTTAGTACTTCCAAAGTGAAACTGGAGAATTTCCCCATTAGTGTCATACTTTTTTTCTTCTTAATTTTTTTTTTAGTTGTAGATGGACATATACCTTTATTTTATTTGTTTATTTATTTATTTATTTTATGTGGTGCCAGGGATCGAACCCAGTGCCTCACTCATGCTAGGCAAGCACTCTACCACAGAGCCACAACACTGGCCCTTCTTTTTTCTTAGTTTAATAAAGAATTGCCATTTTGGAGTCCTGCCTCTGAGCAGTAACAAAAGAGAGACAGTGATGCACCTGTATCAGTGGTTCTCAGACTCTGAGGCATGAAAATCCTGTGGTGAACTGGGTCACATGCATGTTCCCAGCCCTGACCCAGAGAGTCTGATGCCATGAATCTGGAGTGGGTCCCGGTGTTTGGCACAAGCTCCCCTGGTGGTTCAGATGCAGGGGCCTATGCACTGCTGTTTGAGAGCAGTGATCTAGAATGTTCTCCCTAGTCTGAGTGGATCCACCTTCAGCTCTCTCCACAGTCTGCTCTGTCTACCCACAAGCTCTTTCTAGGATCCAAACAGAAAGATGACATACGTCAACTGCCAAGAGGTTTCCCACTCTATTGGGTTGAAGAGCAGTCTATTTAGCAAAGCACGCTTGCCCGTCACAGGATTTGTAAATGCACATCTGTGCTTGCTCCTGCTCTCAGTTTCTCTCACAAATCCGTCGTCAGTTCCCTTCCATTCTTTCCTGAACTCTTTGCTTTCTCCCACCCGCTGCATTTAATCCCTACTTCATTTTTTCTAATGCTTTGCTTTCTTTCCTTTTCAAGAGTTGAAAAGTATTCCAGAATAGAGTTTTATTTTTAAGATCTTTCTCTCATTATTTAAATAAAAGTCTTATGCACCATTTAATATATACTTCTGCTCCCAAATCCATTATCTTCGTTATCTTTTCATCATGCTGGTGAAGCATACTGAAACCTGAGCTGGTCTGTGACATGAAGTTCTCTTCTGGATTATTCTCAGACCTGGTACTGGCAATGCCAGCTACTCCATAAGCCATCATTTACAATATGGCAACCATAAACTTGTTCTGTCAATAGCTGTTGCTCGGTAGGTAAATTGTATGTGCCTGTTGAATAGCCTCTGCCAACAGAGAGAACCTATTGTGCATGGAAAACTCCCAGTACTCTGCAAATCCTGAAGTCCACAAAGACTTGGCTGGCGTTGGAATATTGAGAGAATATATCTGGCATTTAACCTTGTGCAAAGAACAGTGTTATGTACTTTATGTAGCAAGAGCCAGGCTTTTGGTGGAAGCGGGGAGAAGGGAAGAGGCCAGAAAAGCAATGGTTTGGGGGCTGTGAGAGGAGAGTTGTCTTGCCCAGGGGCTGGAGCTAGACTAGAAGAAACTTGGGACGTCAGACGTACTAATGTGTCACTGTGAAATTGAGGCAAGATAGCACCATAACCTGGTTGTGAAGATTAATGTGTGAAATGTGTAGAGCTGTGCCTGGCACAGGCAAATGCACGCTGTCCCTTAGAACTCAGACCAGAGACTGAAAGCCACTCTCCTCCTGGGGTCCCTGTAGGTACATCAGCATCAATGTCTTTCAGGATAGCTTTTGTCTCACAAGGGTGCAAGAGGACACCAGATCTCCGTTTCCTGGCAACTCAAATCCAGCAGGATTGGTGTGTGTCTGTGGGTGGCTCATCTTTATTTTCTGATTACAAGGGGAAGCAAGTAGAGCTCCATTAATGGTGGAAGAGGAGCCC